CAGATAAACCACCCTCGAATTCACCAAAAGGCTTGAGCGCAAGCGATATCGCCCCACTTAACGTTTCCCTTCTAGCATAGACTCCCAATATAAAGAGGAGTACCACGGGAAGGGAGTTGTTTAGGGGAGGGTGGTGAGTGTGGGTGAGGGGTTTTTGATATGCCGGAAATTAGAGTATGTTAAGCAAACTTCCGCAATTCTCGAGTGAGCTTTTCCTAAAATGGGGGGGGGGGCGGACAGAGATACTCGCGGGGGTGAAATGGGTCAATCGGACTATTGAAGCCCCTCATCCACTGCGATAAGTCATTGGCAGCAGCATAAAAGGGCTTGTAGCAAGAGAAAATCTTTGGCACTGAACTCAAAGGACCCTATCTCAGTTGCGGGCGCGTAGCGGAGCTTAGGGGGCCGCAGCGACCTCTCTGAACAGGGGAGCCACATGAGATCAGCCATCCCGAGTCTCGATCCACTCACCCTGCACTTTTATTTGTTCTAGCACTGCACTATAAGCATTGCTCAAGCTCATGCTATCACTCATTGAGGATTGGTTTTTGTCTCCCCCGGTAGCCAGTCGTTTCATCAGGATTGACTCGGTATTCAAAGTTACTAGCAGAAACCCAGCCCCTCAGTGGATAGCTTAACATGGAATTCCAATAGTGTTGCTCCCACATACGTTTTAGAAATAGTCTTAGAAATCTTTGTTAAAATATCTGCTTCCAGACCAGCGATTCCAAAAGCTTGACGTGATGCCCGTCTCTACATTAGTCTACCGCACCGATGCACAGAAATGTTCGCCTTCTGGACGCGGCGGTCTGGAACAGTGCTACAGTTTCGGAAAGTCGCGCCCTCGGTCTACCGGCAACCTCTAGACTATTCCTTCCAGAGCCTTGTCCAAACTACAAATGACCTGCCGTAGTAGGGCACCCTGTTGAAGGTTCTAGATGGATGTTGATTGATCAGGGTTGATTATGGAAGTTGTGGGAGTCTGACGGAGAGTTCAGAGGTTCAGTAGATCAGTGTGGAGGTTCAGATTGACAGAGTGGATTCTCTATACTTGTCTTTCTTTTGTTATTACGGGAGTGTACGGAGGAAAGGGCAGCACGCATGGAGAGTTAGTGACAGGTGTGGTGATCCATGGAGGGATTAGGATTCATTGTTTATGTTTTACTCATACTGCTGTCTTTAACGTTAGTTTAGAGAGTAGAGGCGAACGAAGCTATTATCCTTACCTCTCACTCTTGTCCACGCACTACTAACTGTCCCCCACATAGTCACTTAGCCTTCCCCACCGCTGCGCGATAGGTCCTCCACCGTCATCCCTATTAAGACACCAAACATAATCGCCGGCGATTGCTCCTGCCAGCCCGCGGAATCAAATTAGAAGGATGCAACCACAATATCTTGCTTCCAAGCCTAGTCGCTTGAGGTGTCTATAACCAGAGAACTAACATCGCGGTTTGTAAGCACCCCCACTTCCCCGAGGATCGACTCTCTTACCTGAGATAGATCTTGCTGACCCCCGGATCACTGTAACCGAACAAAGTCGCACTATCGATAATTACCGAATCCATCACCCACACCACCATCAAGCCAATTTTTAAATTTATCAACTTGGACGAGCCTATTCCTCGCATTGTCGACCAGGCGCGTTCGGATGTCCTGATGCTGTAAGCGCGGCTCAAGCGAGGATAACCAGGCTAGTATTTCAGACCGATCATCAACAATAGTAAAGGGTCCAGTACTGGTTAGAAAGAAGCCTTAACACATACCTTTTGCTTGTGGGGAGAGTGTGTGTCAGAAAAGATGCGCGCTGTACCGTACTAGCACTGGTGCTCACCAGCTATGAGATATCTGCAGGCACTTTCCAGGGAGCTCATACGAGCCCCTGGGGTAGACTAGGTCCTATTTTCCGACCGTTGTTGTCCCAATCAAGCAGGGTATATACTGTACCCGGGCGAGCCATTTTTTTACTTCTATCATACCCGAATTACCTCCACTGTTTAGGTCGAAGGGAAACCCATCGAAAACAGACTCCAATTAAGGAATCCAAGTGCGAAAAGAGTTATTTCATTCACTTTTGCGGCAAATGGCTTTAGATGGATACCTACGGTCTTTTTTCCCCACGAATTACTCGTGCCAAGGTTGGGGAAAAGGCCGATTACAGGTACCAGCAGCCTAAGTGGTCGATAGTGGAAGAAGGGTTCTAGGAATAAGAGATCATCGAAATAGTGACTAAACTGCCGTTCAAAAATTAAGATATACCCTGGCCCAGTTTTCCCCAATGTATTTTATAGAACGCGCCCCGTGTGCACCAGTCCTCACAATAGGGCTAGGGGAAATACCGGTGTTGATGATGCTGATTGGGTATAGATATCATATCAGAGGCATGTCTATATAAACGACCACTTAGGTTGCGCGGGCTACGATGTTACGTTCCAAAAGGTGTTTTTACACCCCCTCTGCCTCGGCCGCCGTAGCCGGCCAGCCAGAGTGTCCGGCAGCCTGTTTTTATGATTTCAGAATGGCCGATACTATAAGAGGGAGCATGGTCATGCCGGTATAGGTTCTCACTAAGGGAGATGGAGCAAAGAGTTGGTAAGTTCTCCAGTAAGTTAGTTTTAGGTTTAGTATGCACAAGTCGGGAGTAGAATTTACCAAGCATGGTGTTCCATGGTCATCCATAGCTTTCCCATTTTATATGTTCCTAAATCTGCAGGTTTAAGCTGTTGGTGTACCGGTAGTCTTCTGGTGACATAGGACGTGGAAAGGGTTCGTCGATGCGTAGTTCGCAGCGAATTTAGGAACCTCCGTCACCAGATGGATTGCAATGGAGAGTGCGATATTAGTTGGACGTTGAGGAACTCTGGACCCATGAGCTAAGTGCCGTTGCACGTGTATCGGCCTTTGCTACCGGTACGCACCTGGCAGGAAAAGAGGCCCACGTGTGAGAGTACTGGTACCGTACAGTGCCCGGGGCGGGGATTCGCAGAATGCGTGGCAAAAAATGGGCCATCGTTGTGAGCCTCATACAAAGTACAGACCCCTGTTTTTTGGGCACGGTTCCTGGCCTACTATCGTACCACAAGAAATTGTGGGGCGAAACGTTGCGCTTTTGCTAGCATAAAAAACTTGGATGGTATTTTGTAGGGAGGGTCCGAGTTTCGCTGGTATTGTAGGAGTATAGGTTTTCTCGATCTTTCAACCAGAACTTGCCAGCCCCTAAAGAATCAATATCTGGATCATTTAAAAATAGAAACCCCAATAGAGATTACTGGGATACGGTAGGTACCCAATTACCGGTAGAATATGGAAAGGCAGAGGGCGTGTCTCCAGGCCAAAGGCTTTGTGAAGATCATTATATACCTTAAACATGGACATCCTGAAAGCCTGATGCCAGTAGAGTATCATACCGGCATCCTCGCTTCCCCGTTTTTTCCTTTCCCTCGTTGATGAGTATCGTAGGGGTTTACGGTGATGGTGCTCTAAAAAGAAGAGGGGGGAGAATCGATTCTTGTATCGCTGGAGAAAGTGATATTAGGACAATATTACGTACCATGTTCCCAGCAGAGTTTGGTAAGGGTATGGATCCCGACCCCTTTTTGTCCCATCTTGCCATACAAAGCTCATGATGTTTTGGGAACGGGAATAGAAACGTACCACAGAGATTCCACATGTCTCCCTTCGGGACATTTTCTGTTCTCGGCTCTGCTTTTTTGGGGGGATTTGCCCGTTTCGTGTGGGAGAACGACGGCACAATATCTCACTCGGAGAGTGGAAGAAAAAAATGCGCCCGGGCTCCCATACACAACCTCGACTCTCCTTGGCCTATCAAAGGCCCGCATCGTAGGCACGTGATCGTTGATTGGGGAGTGGTCGTTAAGGGAGAACGCGATCAGGGGGGAAACCTTTATCGAAAACCCTGGTGCGTCTGGACCTCGGTTTTTCCCCCTTGGTAGGGTCCAGGACCTACTATCGTACGGCACCGGTACCGTACAAGTACAGGTACCGGCGGTTGCTGCAAGGAGCGGATTGAGATAGGGGAGGGAGCCTATGCTGCACTGTGTCTGCCCACAACCCTCTTTCCCCCCTTTTTTTTCTAGTGGAGGCTGAGCCTGAGTGATTGAGGGAAGGATTGAGGGACGGGAGTGGGAGGGTGCTCCCTTGTCGGTGATATAAGAACTACGGTACGGTACGAGGCTATGTGTTTTGAGGCATCCGCATGACATCACCTCGTGATTGGTTCTCACTTCACCTTTCCCTTCCCTTCTTATTTTATATAACTTATAACCTGTTCTGGAACCTCACGATAGAGGAGACGATCAGCCAGCGCCGGTAGTTGGTGATGGGTATTTGCTAAATTATTTAGCGTGTTTAGGCTAATACATTTTCGCAAGGGTAGACCACCAAGAGAGCTTCCATCAACTTTCTCTCACCTCAGCAAACTCAACCTCCACCATGCCCGTCTCAGAAAAAGAAAACTTGGTCCGTGAAAGCAGGCTCAGTTTTCTCAAAACTATAGCACTTCAGCTGCCAAACCTCCTCTTCAAGTCGACAGCCCACTTTCTCTCCTTAACGCCGCAATCTCAGCATTGGGATCTGCGGACGACGCTTACTGTCGAGTTTTTACGAAGCTTCCTCGCCAAAACGGCCATTAGTTTGGAAACCGTCGAAAGCATTCAAAGCTCGACTACGAGGCAACAAAAGGTTAAACCGCACACTTGGAAAGTGGATGTACAGATTCCGGTTGGTGGTGCGGATGGAGAGCTGGCTGAGAGAATTGTGGGGACAGCTGTTAGGGAGCTCGGGGATGTGGGTATTGGGCGGCACGTACCCAAAGTGGGGGCAAAGAGTTTAACAGGGGAATGGGTTGGTAACAGGAATCCTATTCCCGGGGAGGAGCCAGATGAGGCGGCCGAACGACGGAGAGAGAGCTTGAGCGAAGTGGAAAAGTATGATGGCTTGATGAAGGAAGTGGAGGGTGGGGAGGATAGTGGGGTTGTGTTATGGTTACATGGAGGTGTGTTTTTTTTTTTACAATTAGGATGAGCGGGATGATATAGTGCTCACTGACTTCTAGGGGCGTATTTGTAAATTCCCCATCATCCCCTCCTCTATTCTTTAGCCTACTAATATCGATATAGCCTCTGTGATCCTGCCACCCACCGAGGCATTGCACGTAAGGTAGCAAAAACTACTAAAGGTTTGTTTCGCTGAATAACCAAGATGACCACTCGCTAATTTCTAGGTCGTGTGTTCCTTCCCCGATACCGCCTAGCACCGCAAAGTCCCTTTCCAGCGGCCCTAATAGACGCCCTGATAAGCTACCTGTATCTCCTATATCCTCCGCCTGGTGCCCTGCACTCCCCAGTACCCCCCTCTAAAATCATTATTGCTGGTGACTCCGCCGGAGGTGGATTGGCTTTCGCATTATTACAACTCCTACTGCACTTAAACCGTACAACGGGGCTCAGCTCTGGGGGCGAGGGTGAGAGCTCCTCGCTGACATCTTCACGGAAAAACTACAGCATTTCTTGGCAATCATCCCAAAGACCTATACCTCTACCAGGAGGAATAGTGGGAGTAAGTTCCTGGGTGGATATTAGTCGGTGCCTCGGCGAGATCCGGTTGCCAAATGGAAATAGAGGAAGTGAGGAGGAATGCAGAGACTGGGACTATCTGCCTACGCCTACTGACTATACGGGGAGGAAATACCCCCCGTCACCAGCTTGGCCGGAAAACCCAGGGAGGAGACATGTGTGTTCCCTTATCACCATTTCTCGGGGGCGCAGGGCACTAATCTGGACAGTTTTATGCCCCAGATGAGCTTATTACTCATCCACTTGTTTCTCCAATTATTGCTGAATCGTGGCATGGATCCCCGCCAATCTGGGTGTGTATTGGGGATGAGTGTTTGCGGGACTCGAATTGTGAGCTCCTTCCCCCTTTTATCAGTGTCCCCGATACTAACGAATGTAGTTTTCTTTACCCACCGACTTTTGGAGTCTAGCGTGTGCGTTCGCTTCTTGAAGTTTACCGCCATGCCACACTGCTTTCCCGTGGTAATCCCACACCTTGACGTCTCGAGAATGTGCATTGCAAATATGGGCGAGTTTATGGGATCTATTTTCACTAGTGGAAGTGCTAAAGCTGGCCAAACAAGATTTAATTCGAAAGGGGACTCCGAGAGAGTAGTTCCTGATGAACTGGGTTTGGGTGGGCTTAAACTAGAGGACGTTGCTGCGTTAATGAAGAACGCGGTAAAGCTTTGGGAGGAACAAGCGCAGAGGCAGAAAGAAAAAGAGACGCCGAGATTGTAGACATGTATTGGCTTGTAGGTAGCAGTAGAGCAGAGATACGGATAAGTATTTCGGGTGGACAAATGTGTTTTGGCGATAGTTTTTTCATCTCGTACCAATGTTTAATGAAATTTGATTGTATGATTTGGGACATCATAGTCGGTCACTCGGGTTGTGAAGTTGATTCCGTGATTATGGAGTGGAGCTGGTGGGGTGACGTTTGAACCGGCTGCCCATGGAGGGTTGAGCACGCGAAGTTTCCTTGTCACAAGCATTGCTGTGGTTTTTCCCTTTCTTGTGGCGAGTCAGCTTCCCCTCCTGATATTGGATAATCGTTCTCTCTTCTCCCCTTTCTGTCAACATTTATTTTGTGTAGGTCTCGACAACAAGGTCCCCTACTTTACGCCAGCACTTGCCGTGGGCCGGTTGAAAGTATGACTGATCCCCGTCTTGCTTGGTTTCCTTAAACCCTAATACAATTTATACTTCTATAATATCCCAACTTGTAGTTCTCATACTATATTATTATCCTCATGAAAACTGCATCATGGACCCATAAGCTAAGTGCTAAATTTACCAGATATTTGGATGAAATATAAAATAGTTGGTTTGAATCAGTGTTTAATTAGAGTGGCTAGATTTCCAAATGGTACTAAGGTACATGAATATCTAAAATGTTAATGTTAGGAATACTTTGCCCTTATTGTTCAAAAAGGAAAAACAAGTGTAAAGACTCATGGCAAGCACTGCTTTATGCAGGGTTCATTGGTACTTCTCTTTTGCATGTGTAATAGTCTAAGAATACACATTCGATATCAATAATAATATTATGTGGATTAGAGGTTTGAGACAATCTTTGCCGAACACCCAGCATCAATCTCAACAGCCTGGCACGGTGTTCTTGGGTAGATATCTCTAGGAACAACCACCGGGAACTTGGGTCCCCTCCTTTCCAAAAACGATCTCATACCCTCCCCCTATCCCAACTAAAGTCAGGTGACGAGCTTTAAAGACCGAATTATGAACTTACACTCCTTCGAATAACTGATTTGCGATATCCGAGACTATGATAGATTAGGTTGACAATACTATAACTTTTATGAATGCAACCGCAGGTGCACAATTCTGGTTTATAGTAGTCTAGTACTAGTGGGGGTGTTAGGTACTAGTAATACCTAGGTTCTCTCTATAACTAAGACAGGAACTCCTCCGAATCTGAAATCTATATACCACCTCCTTACCTTTAAATCTCTCAACTTTTACATGATACCACTTCCTCCAAGACTACAATTCCCTCCACAGTCTGGAAATGTTTACCTAAAGAACTACTCGTGTTACACATAATTTCCCCTGCTATTTCACGAGCATTGATTCGAGTGTAGTAAGTTTAATTATCTGTATTTGTAGATAGGTGCAGTTAGTGGTATATACACTAAGGTGGCGAGTTAGTAAAGCACCATGACTGATGCGATCATCACTCGCCCTTTTCACATCAAAACAATGTAACAGCACCATGTTGACATCAATTGATTGTATATCTGTTTCCGGCATCATGTTTTAATATGGACTTCCAATACCCCAATCTTAGCTGAATTAGATTTGTCTTACATTGTTGTTCGGGCAGTGAAGGTGAAATTTTTCAATAGATGCTCAAACAATTTTTAAGTCTTGGTACAATTTTTAAATGCCTTAAGCCCAACTTGCTTGTAGAATGGTGATTTCCTCATAGAAAATTGACTAAACAGCATCATTTCGAGTGGGGGTGTCCGAGTGGCTTGTGGCTTCATATAACCCTTGCCTCTATAGATTTGCGTGGGATCAGCCGAATAATGGTTTTCAGAATTTTGCTAACACAACCGGGTGCTTGAGTCCCCACACCTGCACGCCGAGCGCTAGACCACCCTTTCCGGAGGGATATCCGGGAACGCCTACAAGCACTGGTATCCCTCATGAAGCACGGTGCCTACATTTGGGTCTAGATTTAGTGTGGGCGCTTAGATGTAGTAGTGCTCGTACACAGACAATCTACTCATACAATCCGGATTTTGACCTCCATGCGACCGGTAAGGTTGGCGGGGCACCAGAGAGGCCACAAAGTAGGGTCTTCAAATATACGGACAGCATATTTTCATAATAATATTATACTCCTGATTGACTACACCAACTAGGACTTCTGTACTGGGTTTTGGTGGAATTTTTGAAATTTTCACTTTACACCCCCGGAAAATTTAAGATATTATTTGGAAGGCTATAATGAGAACTGTTTACTCAAAATTGACTTGAATTTGTAATCAGATCTTTTGCAATAAACAGTATCCTTCCCCACTTACAACTCCTAGTAGTGGTTTTTATACAATTGTGGATTTTGTGGAAACAATGTTCTAGTATCAAATACTATACACATCTCATAATATTATATGATTAAAAAATAGTATTATACAGTATTATACAAAATTGTATAAATATGAGATCAGTCCTGACCACAAAGAGGGTCAGGTGACTCTTGGACGGCTCGGGATTCCGGTGGTGAGCGCTTATCCTTTTCTCTGGGGGGGAATAGTTGACCTGTGGGGTGGTTAATAGCGGCACAATAGCCATTTCTTCAAGTTGAGCCCCTTTCAAAGATTCATATCTTTTTCCCAAGTCACATCCAGAGGACGGAGGCTTCGTATATCAATTCTTTGGTTTGGGGGATTTTTACTGATTTTTACCGCTTTTCTGTATCAGCGTTTGTCGGATCTGGTTTTGGATACAATCCTCCTCGGGCATGGGTTTTCGGGGCACGTGGCCCAAAGAAATTCTGGGTGGATTGAACCTGAGCAACTACCCATGTCGCCATTTTGAAGTTGGGGTTTTCTTTGGCGTTACCGCCAAAAAGGGAGTGACTTCAATCCGGCGACAGGGGCACAGTACCGTATGACATTCTACGGGGGCCCTCGGAAGTCTCTTCTTGCTAGATAACAGAGACTTATATGGTGGGCCGTGTGTTGTACAGTACTACGAGATAATACTGGGGACCGTCATGGATGGGGAAACTGTCACTTTTGGTTTACCTTCAGGCTCAGGGTAAGTTTCCCTCTTCTCGACTACGGCGTTTACTGCAGTCTGCTGCAGCCGCATACTCGAGGGAGGTAAACCAAAAGCGACGATTGCCCCTTAAGGCTCTGCTCGAGTCTTCTCGTTGATCTACGGGGCTTATCCGCGGAGCTAGTGCAATAGTCGCTTCGGCCAATCACATCCCGACGTCCCGCAGCGTGAATTTAAGGGAGGATCGGTATTTTCCTCAAGTGTCCCAACCGATGTCTGGGGCATTGGATGTGGTTGGTGACTCTAACCCTATCGTACAGTAGTGAAGGCACATGGCAGAATCACTGGAGATTGACTGGGCTCAACTGGTCAGTTTTATGCATGCTCTTTTTGCTCTCCTCCGGCTTAAGCTCGTCCTGCCGGACCTGCGGGGTGATACCCATGATGGTGGTTAGAGGGGGGAATGATGTGGGCAGGAAGGGGAGGGGAGGATCTTGTGCTTAAAACCACTGGACATCCATGGATTGAAGTTCTCCAGCAGTGCACATTCCAATTATGGACTCACACCCTCTCATCCTTCGGGAACCTCCAAATGGTAATGGGCGGATGTTCACGCCTCTAGATATTCAGATGTTTACCCTAGGAGCGTTCCTATTTGCTATTTCACTCGTGGTATACTTCCTCCTCCACGCCGGAAAACCCTATGCAGTATTCTTTTATAATTGCTTCCTGAAGCCCTTCTCCGGAAGCTCGGCAGAGGGGAACGGCGGTCAGCAGGATGCCCTAGAGAGTTTTTACAAAGGACAGGCGGACATCTATGACGCGACCCGGGGGAAGTTACTGAGAGGGAGGGAGGAGATGTTGGCCCTCGCTGCAGCACAGTTGAAGTACAGGGTTAAGAAGGAGGGAAGGAAGGCGGTTTGGGTGGATATTGGGGGTGGCACTGGGTTTGTTTCTTATTTCCTTAGTGGAAAGAGTATAGGGCTAATTGGGGTTAGGTATAATATTGAGACGTTGAACAAATATCTCTCAATTCAGGGGTTCTTTTCAAAGGTTTACTTGGTAGACCTTAGCCCGAGCTTGTGTGATGTTGCAAGGGAGAGGTTCGGCAAACTCGGGTGGAGGAATGTGGAAGTTGTGTGTATGGATGCCCGAGTATTCAGATTGGAGGAGAAGGCCGATTGGATCAGTATGAGTTATTCACTGTCTATGATTCCTGAGTATATTCTATCCCCCCTCCTCGCATCCCGCTATCGGCGTCTGGGGTGTTGATCTGTGAAGTTTCTACTCGGTCATCGATTCTCTCTTGAGCCTGTTATCGTCCGAGGGCATAATCAGCGTTGCAGACTTCTACGTACAGTCCTTAACCAACTTTGCGGGAAGGACTTATACTGGTGGAGTGCTCAGTCGCCATGTAAACTGGTTTTCACGGCAGTTCTGGAGAGTATGGTTTGAGTTTGATCGAGTTAATCTTGACGAGGGCAGACGGGACTACTTGGAGTACAAATTCGGGACTATACTAAGCGTGAACGAGCGGTGAGTGACACTCTTAGTATCATACCCGATATTTTGCTCAGTACATTACAGCAACCGCATACTAGGCGGGATCCCCTACTATATCTGGATTGGCTGCCAGAAACTACACACAAGGACCGACGTCCTAGCGCTCGTTGACTCAGCCACTACTAAACCCCCATGCCTACCTCCAATTCACCACATGTCGGGAGCCCAGGCGAATGCCCAGCTTTCAGATACCATGCTCAAACTCCGCTCCAAAGGGTTCGAAGCGGCCGTCCTAAACCTTGCGACAAACCTTCCCCTCCCGAGCGCCTTCTACCAAAATCGTCACTGGAGAATCTACTATGACGAACTCTTACAGAAGCACACACAATTCAACAATTCCTACATCTACGCTTTCACATGGGAAGATCCACGAGTGGATCAAAGTATACTAAAGATCGGTCCGGATGACGTTGTGCTGGCTATCACCTCTGCAGGGGATAACATCCTGCACTACCTCATCGAAGGAAGCCCCAAGAGGGTCCACGCCGTGGATCTAAACCCAACACAAAACCACCTCCTCGAGCTCAAACTAGCCGCATTCTCGGCGTTACCCTATGAAGACATATGGAATATTTTCGGCCTAGGCCGACACGAGAACTTCGGAGGGTTGCTGGTGAATAAATTGAGCCCTCACCTATCCTCCCGCGCCTTCCAATACTGGTTCGACCACCGGCAAGTATTCGGCTCGCGGCTCAGCGGAGGGCTATATGAAACGGGGCAATCTCGACTCGCGATTATCGCCGCAAAATGGCTTTTCCGTGTCTTCGGCGTGTCAAAACACGTTGAACGTATGTGTGCCGCCAGAACACTAAACGAGCAACGCGAAATCTGGCGATCCAAAGTCCGCCCCGTGATACTCTCCTGGTGGGTTAATTGGGCTATAATCGACCGCGACCGGTTCCTCTGGAGGGCTCTCGGCGTGCCCGCCAATCAGCGGAATATGGTAATTCATGACTGCCCACAACTCGCTCGAGGGCGAGACAAAGATAGTGGGAGGGCAATGTGGGAATATGTGGTTAATACCCTAGACCCCGTGGCCGAGAATAGCCTCCTGAGTGAGGATAACTACTTCTACTATCTTTGCCTCCGAGGTCAATACACGGAGAAGTCCCGCCCGGTGTACTTGTGTCCGAGGTCCCATGCAAAGCTGTCCCGTCCCGGGGCACTGGACAACGTTCGCATCCACACCGACGAGATTAACCACGTCCTCTCGAGGATTCAACCGAGCACGCTATCCATCGCGGTCATAATGGACTCAATGGACTGGCTCGAAACGGATGGCGTGGAAGCCAGGAAGCAAATCAAGTCGCTGAACACGGCAATGATGGTTGGTGGGAGAGTACTCATCCGCAGCGCTGGTCGGAATCCCTGGTATATGCGTGTGCTTGAAGAGGAGGGGTTCAAGACAGCGAGGGTGGGTGATAGAAGTCCTGGGGCCTGCATTGATCGGGTTAATATGTATGCTTCGACTTGGGTGTGCACGAAGGTTGAGGAGAGGGGTAGGATGAGGGGAAGTTCTGGGATTGAGGTTTAGGATTAGATTTGAAGTTGGACACCTAGGATGGCACCTCTCATACAAAGTGACCAACTTCAACTCAGCCACACTACTGGATAGTTTATTTGTTTCGGTTCGATGGTAGCGAGCTCGAGGGGTCCGTAGGCTATTTTTGGCTTGGCTGACTGGGGTTTCTGGTTTGGAGCGCGGGGGTTGTGTGGAGAATTGCGAAACCGTTGGAGGCAACTGATGGGTGAGTGGAAGCTGATCACCAGGGTGCTTGTATTACTGTATAGATTAGTACCGTACTCGAGTAAGGCACGAATAGAACTTAGATAAAGCATATTTTAGAGCTGATGGTCATGAATAATGTTGTACCGGTAGTAATTATGGAGCTGGTCTACGTACTAGGGGTAGGGGGAAAGTATTGGGACGAGCAGGGGGGTTCTATGTCTGTGCAAATTACTCAAATTAGTATCTTCAATCCCACTTCAAGTAATTCACAGAGACATCAAGCCCCCCTGCTTGTCCCAATACTTCACCCCCACGGTTATTTTTAATTTGAACTTAAGCATTATTTTATAGTGTTTCCCTATTCCCCATCCGCTATTGTGCACTTCGGAGCTGTAGGCACCGATGTGTGGAGAGGAAGGAACTTGCTTCTTGTATTTCCTAGCTACGCCGCCACTGCTACCTAAGGCGAAATACATGTGTGTGCCAAGCCACCGCTTGTCACGTCTTCCCAACTCGTAACCCTAATGACTATGAGGTTAGCCCCAGTACTACATACACTCCCGTGTTAACAGGAGCCACCCGCCATTCTAGAACTGTATGCATATGATAGAACTCGCTGGATTAGTAGGACTGGATTGAGTTGTAATGGGCATGTACTGTACTGTAGAGTACCAGCACTGTACAGCACTGTACTACCAGTATTACAAATAAGTACCGCAAGTACCCGAATAGAAAGCAAAGTGCGCCAGGACGTTGAATCTCCTCTCCTAGAAAGGCACCCTGCATATTCCTTTTGCATTGCCTCAACGGAGACCGAGTTTGCAGCCTCTCCCGCTCGCGCAGCCGAGAAGGGAAATTCCAACGTCCTCGCACATTTTTTCTTCTATTTGGGTACTTACAGTATCGGTACCTGTTTGGTATTTTTTTTTATCTTTCCCTTTACAGTGTGCTGTGCTTTTCCGATGCAGGTCCCCGGCATATAGAGCCCGAACGCAAGGGGTCAAAAATTCGCACAGCAAAATTGTCTGTGCAATTCTCAGTGCCCGTACTAAATTCAGAATCAAACGTTCGGCTTCTTCGTGCCGGGGGCCTGTGGTGCGCCGGTACTGCGCCTGGTTGAGTAAACAGGTGAAGGGAAAAAGGGGAGGAAAGGAAAAAGAAAAGTTGTGCTTATTGGGATAGATTCAGCGTTTGTAGGTAGTATCTTTTAACTTTGCTACGCTAGAGGGTGGAGGGCATGCGCGATCTCGTGCGGCTGAGACTTTTTGTGCAGAAGTGGTATGGCGTTGTGAGATGGGATAGTCTAGGTTCTTTGTGGTGCGCTTTTTGCGGTTGGGGGTGGGTGTGAGGTGCTGGCCCGGTGGCAGTGGTGGGGTTTCGCTACCCAGGTTGGGTTCGGTGGAGATCTGAAATTGCTACGATACTTGTATAAGTAACTGGGATAGCCCCAGCCAGGAAAGCCATACCGGTACTATAGCCATTGATTGATTATTACCCTCCCCCTCTCCTGAGTCAACCCATTCGTTGGCCCGATCAATTGCTCCGGGAAAGTAAGATTAAGTAAAGATGAAGAATTACTTACCCTCACTCCTCCTCCTCCTCGTCTCCGCTGTGGGAGTCCGAGCGCAGGACAAGATTGCCGATGCCGTAGCAGGGGACGGGAAACTATCCACGCTGCGCTCAATACTGACCAGCAACCCGGCGCTCGTCCAACTCCTTGACGACAGGTCCTACGGCCAGCGAACCTTCCTCGCCCCTTCAGACACTGCCTTCGCCAAGTACTTCGCCAACACAAACAACACCAGCGCCGGGAGCAATCCCTCGCAAACGCAGATGGAGGCGATGCTATCGTACCACATCATGAATGGCTCGTTTCCGGCATCGAACCTGACGTCGCCCGGGGGAGTTGCTGCAGCTACGTTTTTGCAGGACTCGCAGTATACGAACCTTGGGAGTGGGGCTGCTGGGAATATGGTTTTTGCTTCGCGGTACGGGAACTCGGGGGAGGCGGGCGCGGCTGGGAAATTGGAGGTTTTCGGGGGAGTAGGGGACAGCGCACCCATCGTGAGGACGGATATTAAGTTTGGGAATGGATTTGTGCATGTTGTTGATGAGTGAGTCTGTTTTTATATACCTACTTTCTACTTCTTCCGGTCTCTGTGGAGGAATGCCCGAGCTAACTCCGAACAAAATAGTCTACTATCGCTCCCACAGACATGCACGAGCTCAATGGGAAGACTATCCTTAACCTCGCTCCTGCAGGCGCTGGACCGGGCATCACTGGCTCAAAAACTTGATACCACCCCGGGCGTGACATGCTTCGCGCCGACCCAGGAGGCATTCACCGCGTTAGGAAATCCGGAGGGGAAACTTTCGCAGGGGGAACTCTCGGATGCACTTATGTTACATACGCTCGGGAAGGCAGCATACTCGCCAGACCTGAAGCCGGGGACTTGGTATCCGACTTTAGCGAATGGGCAGAATATCAAGGTACTCCGTGAGGGGGGTTCGCTATATGTTACAGGTGATGGGGGTGGGAAAGCGAAGGTAGTGAGGGGGAATGTGATTGTTAAGAATGGAGTTATGCACGTTATTGATCAGGTTTGTCTTCTTTTTTTTTTCTGCAGTGGGTTTTTCGTTGAAGACGGTGGAGGCTAATTGTGTGATTAGCTACTTACACCGGGGTCTACCAATGGAACAACCACGAGTGATTCTTCCCCAAGCTCTGGTGGAAGTAGAGGCACCGCAACGGGTGGTTCAGCCGCTACCAGCTCGTCTCCTTCAAAATCTAGCGGGAGTATTAATGGTGGGAATCGCATTGCCCCGTTAACGACTCTGCTCTTTACTATAATTTCTGTAATATCCACTTAGTTTAATTTATGTTTGGTTGTGCGGAATAGGTGACGGAGGTGGGGGAGTTGTGTTGGTGGATGGGTAAGAGCCTTTTAATAAGATTAGCGAAATTTCTAATAGAAAATGAAGTTCCGACCGGGTGAAGAAAAAAGCTGTGCCCACACCGTGAGCTAGGATGAGGAGTTGATGAGTAGGGTGAGCAGGAGTCAGTGATCGACGACTCGGAGTTCTGTGTGCCTTGGGAGATGGCGAAGGGGTTGTTGATGCTAGAGGTTGGTAGAGACATAAATTAGGGGATTTATGGCAACCGTATGATATTCCCTAAAAGACATCTACGGTGATATATAACGCAAGGCTAAAAAAGGATTCGCTCCGAGCAGTTTTCTCACGGGAATGCAAATCCCCCAGCCTGCGGATATCGCAATAAAAACGTCGGCTCGATCATTGACCCCTCTGAGAAAGATCTCGGTGAATTCCGACCCCGTAGAACTGCCAAAGTGCATCATCGCAATTTAGGGTCAAAACTCATGTTCACACTTACGCCAAGCTACTCGCCGTCTTCCGCGCCGAGGATGATGGGTGTCATAGCTCTTTTGGAGTATAGCACCCGTGGTGGACCAATAAGAAGAGTGGAATACCGGTTACTCGAGCTATTCGAAAATACTGTGCCAGTTGGCATAATATAACCAGAACCCCCTGTGTGAGAGTGTGTGATCATATTTCACACGCGTATGATAGCAGCTCTTTCGAAGGAATTAGACATGCTCCTTTCCGTCTGCGAGATCGTTCCTGACGTGTGTGAGTGGGGTCGAGAGACGTGTTGGAGATGCATGAAGGACTCGATGGCACAATGTAATTTCCCCCGATAGCAGTAAGAAAATGAGCAGCATTTAACACCTGATTGACTCGGGGTCGGAGAATATGGGTGCCAAGGTTTATGGCACTGTACCGGGTATCTATTGCTCTTCGCATTGTAGCGGTATATGCTTACCTTTCCGAAGCGTCCCCAAAATCATACCCGAGTACAGTACTCGAGTACGGGGCTGACCCTAAAAAAAGATGAGCAGTGCAAGGCTTCCTTACTGAAGACATCAACCTTCATGGCCATCCAACAACTGATGCGAAGAAGAAATCCAAACCAAATCTTCCCCCATACATGAAACGATTCCCTGGATCCCACTTCCCAACCCTCTAGAGCTCTACATCTAAACCGGTGGGGATCGCTGAGACGACTGTTCTTGGTATCATACATGTTCTGACAACTTCGGGAAATGGCAAGGCTTTGTGCTTCTCTCTCTCTTTTTTTTTTTTAAAAAAAAAAAGAACCTCAACTTCACAACTGTGCATTGCAAAGCAGCCGGCAATTTCTTCCATCATTTATTATCTGTGACTACTTGGGGAGACACTTGAAAGGACTGCCAATTTTTCCCCCCAAATCTTTTATAACTTCAGAATGTATTGAATGGAAAGCATGGGGTAGCAGGTTTTGGTTGTTACGTGCGCCCATTGCACCCCCAACCATTTCTCGCGCCGACCCCGTACAATACCTGTGTTCGGGTGTCTGTGGGAATCGGAAACAGGAAAAACAGGGGCCGGAGGGATCGAGGTACTGTGCACAAGATTGTCTGGGAAGCTCAGCTAGGTAACTAGATATTTTGGACGAGGCGCGTTGCGCCTGGGGGGGCCTGTTGCTAAATATCATGACGATGCTGAGTAGGAAGCCACCATGCAACAGACTAACTTGAAGGGGCGAAAATGTGAATTGCAAGGGAGAAAGGAGAACAAGACCTTTTCCAGCGTAGCGAGATCCCGCCATTGGCTTCACTGGGCTCTACCCCCGTGTATGGATACCTCTTTTCTTTTTCGGTATACTACTTGTGGCGGTGCGTGTTCTTGGACTGTGGATCCCGATGGGTGTTTCTATATTTTGTTTTCTGCTCACTAATCCCGCTGGCAGGGGTAACTTATTCATCTTTCCGATTTTTATAGACACACCAAAGAACAGAATCAACCAACGTCAATTTTTTTTTCCCCCTTCGCGTTCCATAACAATCCAGCAACTCAAGAGAGCAAGCAAGCCATGAAAAAAACCTACCCTTTGTTAAGAAAGTGCTGGAGGGTCACTGGGAAGTGATAATCCTGAAAATCTGGGGTTTTTTCCTCCTTTTCCCCGGGAGGGGAGGCGGGGGAGGGGGGGGAAGGTTTGTACAACTGGGCCAAATCATTTAGGGTCCCCTTGGGTACGCATGATTTGGTGGGTATGTATATAGTACCAGTATTCGTCGTCGACTCCCTTCAATACAGATAGGTACAGCACCGTAAGTAGTAACATACCGCACTCGAGTAGCGCCCCCGCACAACGAGTTCGAAGTGTGCCTTCCAAAGGAGACACCAGAGCAGAATTGGGCTTTGACGTTCAGGCACATCCTTCCAAGTCCAGTGGGGCAAAGGACCCGGCACCGTTGCAATGAAGGGGGGGGTAGGATCAAAAATCAATCGAAGGGCTGGAACGCGCTTTTTCGAACCGGGGGGCTACAAGGTAGAACCCTTCGAACAAAGCAATAAACAATGACATTTGAAGCAAGTTGAAGGTGAAGAAACAAATAAAATTATGACAAAAGAAGCTGAAGGTTCCCAAATATCCCACAAATATCCTTTAGTAGATTCTTGGACAATTTACTCCTCTTTCCCTGCTTCTGAGCAACGAATATTTCCTGCTTACTAACATACTATAGAACCCCCCCCTTCTATCCCAATTTTCAGGATCCCCGATTCAATCCTCCCCCCTTCTAACCCCCCGGGTTCGATCACCGAAGGCCTTCTTTGCAACATTGCCGTTATATATCGCATTGCCTGGCTGGGTGGAAGGCGGGTCGTGTCCTGTTGCACGGATGAGTTAGGCGGCCGATTGCCCGGAGGTTTACGGCTGGGTCAGCGGAGTGAAGCTGTTGAAAGCAGCGTGGTTTGTGGGCTGCGCCTTCCGCGCTCGAGTGCTCGTGCCAGGCGCTCTGCCGTGGCTGCTCGGGTGCGGTGGTCTTCTTGGCCCTGGCGCGATGTATCATACTGATTCTGTACTGTATGAGTACTACTGTACTCGAGTAGTAGAATGGTGCCAAGAGCGATGGGAAGTGTGGAACCCCTTGGGCCAGGTAATTGCTTGCGTGCAAATCTTGCATCCATAGTGGTCCCGTTGACTGCCTTCTGCAAATTAAAAAAATCGGAGCGGAGGGTTACGCCCAACAACTTCGGACACTATCACTGGTAAAGTGTGGATGTGAATCCAGTGAACTGGGGGTCTAGGTAAATTGTGGCAAGCTGTACTAGCACGGTACGAGTACTGTACTCGAGCAGACTGCACCCTATGCTGCTGGAGCACCGATACGGTGGTAAACACTTTGCGGCAGTCGGGAACCGGGAGACTTATCGTCCCTGCAGATCTCGTGAATTAAGCGCGGCGGGAGGGAGAGAGCGCCCTGGCAATCTCGCTACCTTACCATACTACGTACGTAGTGGTTATTAATAACTTTACCTCGTCCTACGAGTAAATATGGCAAGTTACTAATTGTCCGATCGCTTCTCCCCCTCCGTTTGAAGGGGGGAGCGCTGGTATAGCGGTACTCGAGTACAGTAGAGAGCCTCGACTTGCCTCAGGGCTCACCCCAGCCCCGGACGTTGTTGACTGGCCAGGAGATCCTTTTCCCCCTGGAGCAAGGAATCTAGACCGGTATGTGTCCTTCACGGTATGTACTCGTATGCATCTCACAGCCTGCAGAGTATCATACAGTGCCCAACGATCACTCACTGTACGAGTACTCGACTGTCATACCGGTACTCGAATACCGGTCGTACTCGAGCACGGCACAGTACGAGAACATGATTCATAGAGGTTTGCACGACAAAAGGGGAGAAAAGGAGAGAGGGCAAGGCACGAGGTTTATCACTAACGACATGGCCTCTAAATGAGTGACTCGCGCTATCATACATACCTGGTTCACGGTGGACTGGGGCAGACTTTGGAACGGAGGTCATGAGCCCTGGGATAATAGACTACCGGTATGATAACTGTACTCGTACAATGCCAACTGTGCTTGTGGGCTAAACTACGTTATCTCAGCGAAATCCGTACCGGTGCTTATGAAGGCGGTTATCGGTTCCATATATAACCTTGCACACACCTCGAGAGTCAACGGTTAAACCTAGCAACAGCCTGGGCTCTGTGGGCTCTGTTTCCACAGAATCAGTTGATGGCGGTTCGAACGTGTGATGGAGTCAGAAGTAAATTTAAAGGGTTCCCTGTTGGTTCCGATGGAGGAAGGTGAATGAATTTTTTTGGGTTCCACACTCGCAACTCGGACAGCATCACGGAATCCGTCTCGCTGATCAGTCGGACATTGCGTGGCTCAACCTGGGGCTCCACTCATTCCCCGGTAAAGCCACTGACTGGCCTTCTTGGCACACGTCCTGCACCGCCCCCTTTTTCCTTTTTTTCCTTTTTTTCCCTTCCCCTCTTCCCCTCTCTCACTCCTCACTTTCCGCCATTTTCCCTCCCCGCCTTTCCAGCTGGAAGTCTTGAAATCCTGTTTCACTGAAGAAAAAATTCGCTCGCCTTGCGCTGGGGCAAGGAAGATGGAGGGGGAGGGAGAAATGGAGAGCGTGACAAAGAAGCGGTGCGTTAAGATAGGTTACCTCACGTTTTGGGGCTTTGGGATCTCTCTCGCCTGTGGTGGTGAGTTACTCGCTGATGGTCTCGGGGTCTCCCGTTGCGTTGCTGCTGAGCTTATTTAGTTCTTGGATCCCATAGAAAATGGTAACGCTAGGGATGAATATAGAATTGATAGCACAACGCAATCTGGCAATCACACACCTGAAAAAATGGCCACTCGGACCCTTGTTCGCTTGTTGTCTCGTTTGTGATTGAATCCGTTTAGGTCTGGTGTGTCGGGTGCGTGCGTATGCTCTCCAGAAGCCAAGCTGCTGTGGTACGTACTCGAGTACCGTATTGATTGATACCCTATATCTTGGAAGAAGCCCCCCCCGCCCCTTCGACTTTTTTGAAACGGCTTCCTTCGCTCTTCCTTCTCCTCCTCCCTTAGTCTTCCCTCTCTCTACCCATTAAATTTTTATCACTCCTCATCTCACCTTTATCGCCTGACCTACTACTATCCTCTTTCACTCGATAATGAGTAGCTTAACAAGCATCTTCTCCTTCAAGGGAGTTCAAATCATCAAACCATCTCATCCAAACCAGGTCACCGGGACTCTCACCCTTTCGCGCGAGCGTCAGTTTGCACAGCCTGCCGTTGGAATTCCTGAGGATGAGTTTTTGCGCATCAAATTCGTCTCCTCTTCCGGAACAACGGAGCTCGATACCCGCCTTTACGGTGAACAGAGAGCCGAGAGACTCGACCCTTCTACCTTTACCATCGAGCTTCGAGCCCCGGAGGAGGGTGCACTGCTCGTCATTTTCCCACCGCCGGATCAGATTGTTCCTCGAGAGTACCTAGAGTTCGGTGCTGAAGGCGTTGACCTCCAGGTGACCTGGGCCCAGGTAGCTGACAGCTTCGCCGCTACCATAAACCAGTGGATCGCGTTTAGCGATGGGGAAACCCCCCTCCCCGCCTATCAACCCAGCTCTTACGCGAACGGGAAGGGTACAGGGTATGGAGGTAGTAGCGCTAGCGCGGCTCCTGCCCCGTATGACCCAAGCATTTATCGGGACGAGAAATCGCAGGGCAGATTGGTCTTGATTGACGAGGAGAATGGGCACGAAGTTGGTGAGGTTGGCGGTTATCAGGTTCATGCCATAGGAGTACAACCCGGAAGTAAAGGTTTGTTCCGCACCACCGCTACAAAGTGAAGGAATGTGCATAGCTGATCCCCCGCAGAACCCGTTGAGGTCTCACTTCCAGAAGACGGTTCAGGCCGGGTCACCGTAAGTTATTCCCCTTTGCTACTTGCACGAAACTCTGCATCACCAGAGATGGGATTCGCGGGAAAAAATAATTCTAATTCCAACTTAGATCCGCCCTGCAGATTACTTGAAGGACGCTCTCGACCCTGCTTATAAGAACTCGTCAATCGTCGGAACTGCCGCAACTGCATCCCGGCTGATCGTCACTACAAGTTCGTATATCGCAAACGCTATCCAATCGGGGGCAGATTCTTTCACCAAAAAGACAAAGCCTAACGCAACGCCCCTAACGTTCAACCCTAGCACCCACAACCGTGTGCGTCAACTTCATACATTTTCCTCGAGCGCTGCCAAGTTGTCCGCGCAGGCCGTTGGTCAGGTGTCCAAGCATGCGCAGAATTTCGGCGCTCGAATTTCCGGTCGCTCTGAGAAGGGGAGGCCAGCAAATCCAGGGCTATTGAACAAGTCATTGGTGGCTTTTTCGACAATCGCTGACGGTATTGACTATGCGTCAAAATCTCTGTTGGCCTCGGGCTCTATTGCAGCCACAACTATGGTTGGGCATAAATATGGCCAAGAAGCCAGAGAAGTTGCGTACGGGCTTACTGGCTCGGTAAAGAACGTTGGTCTGGTATACGTGGATGCGTCTGGCGTATCCCGAAGAGCCATCGTGAAAGGTGTTGCAAAGGGTATGGTGGTTGGGAAGGTTCGCGGTGGAGGAGATATTGTTGTTCCGGGCCACACTGAGACTATCGATGGCATCCCAAAGGGCTGGGGCGACGGTCCCCTCGGCGGGCCTCACGCCGGGCCTCCATCGCGGAACCCATCTATTCACACGCCCGGGAACCGTTCGCCCCCAGTGCCGCCGCCATATCTCAGCGCTAGTAGCACCACCCCCAGCCAAAGAGGCGACAATCTCTACTTTCCCCCACCACCAGGAAGCGGTGGCATATCTCCCCAAGTCACGGGCTCTAGTTATCGATCGCCTAGTCCCTGGGATGGCTCAGCGATGCGCTCCGCAAGTCCAAGACCCTTTGACGAGAAGGCCATCTCCAACAACAACATGCAAGGCGGGTACAGATACTAGATATCGGGTGCGTGCGCAGCTGGGACTGAAGTACAATAGTGGCCCAAGTGCCTTTTTCTTCCTTTTCTTCTCTGTCTTTCTATTTAGCTTTCCCTAGTGTTTCCATTTTCTACCTCTTACCTTTTGGTATGTTGGTTATCATAAACTACTTTCGGACTATTTTAGTTTGGGGGGCTTGAATCGTAAATGAGCTGGTGGCTGATATAGATTTTTTTTTCTTTTTTTTTCTTCTAACGACTACCGTAATAATGATTTCCTTGGTTTTGGGATCATTAGGATTCGAGAAGCTAGTGAGGGGTGTACCGTAGCGTGTTTCACCTAGTAAACAATTACCCTTACTAAAGAGCAACTCATTTGAGTGCACCTATAACCCTGGTGCTCCAGGTCAGAAATCTATATGTTGATACAAGTTCCACGATCAAGTTTTTGGATACTTTTAAACCTTTAAAGCGAGTTACCACTGTCAAAAATGACTTCATGTTTTCTGACCATGAATCTACAATCCCGGCTAGACAACCCCCAAATCTCCAGAACAAGCTTTAAAAGGACTTCCATTTTATAGCAATCATGTATCAGTGCCGGTAATGCCTAGACCAAGTACCCGAAATTACAGTTTTCTTGAACAAAAAACTGCCTTATACTGTACTGTACTAGTACTTGTACTACAGTATAACCCATTTCCCCTCCAGATTATACCCGAATAAGGGTTTCACCATTTCTGGAAACAGGTAGAAAATATTGTCGTAAATAGGTATCATAAGCAAAGGCGATAATAAAATACACATTGTATTATGCGCCTGGGAAAAAAAATCTTGAGGTGATCAACATGGCGATCATCATTTCTACAAAACTCCCCCCCTTTTTTTTAGGTCATTTGGTTCATGTGATCGCTTACCCAGTGCGACGGTTTAGCTTACTATGATACGGTAAGAGAGACACGCTGACAGGCACGGCGTCGTGAGTACGGAAGGATAAATAAATTATTGGGGCGGGAGATTTGGTCCTCCGTAACTGGGATTCGTGCTCGTATGATATGTTGTACGGTGCCAGTGGGTAGGTAGTAGTTGGAGCGAAAAATGGCAAGATTAGCGAATGGCCGGGGAAGCGTTACCTCATGGAGACACGAGTGATGGGTAGTGATGGTGTTCGTCTGGCTATCTGTGGATATCACACACCTATCTATGCATTGATCCGCCCACTGAGTTTTAATGTTAACATATTGTATAGCTAGGGATGAACAAAAAGTATCAACCCAGTCCCCCGGGGTTAGGAACCGCCCCCCCCCCCCTTTCCTCCCAGCTCAATTCTAGGTATCGTAACATGTCTCTGCGATATTAAATGTCATAGACAATCTGATCTATCGTGGTAGTAGAAACGCTCACAGAAAAAAAAAAAGGAGAAGCTCCCCTCCATGGTTTTCAAAAAAAAAAAAAAAAAAATGTGATGGACGGGAGTACAGTACAGTACACCAGGGAAATTGAAAGAAAAAAAACTGCTCACTTTAAACCTCACTCTTCTCCACCGACGGATACCTACTCCCCATTGCTGTACCTACCGTTGTGCTCTCGCCATCACTGACCGCCTTCCCTTCGCTCACAATACCTTCCGCCTCCTCCGATTTCTCCCCTTGGGGGACCATGGAACTCTTGATGAACAGGACGGCAAGGATAAAGCTCGCGGCGGCAAAGGCGATAGCGGTATAGAACGAGTTTCTGTAAGCCTCCTTCAGTTCCTCCCTCGTCTCGCCACGAATCAGGGAGCTCGCGATGGCAAACCCCAGAGCGGTGCCCAGTTGCGCCGCCGTCTGCAAGATGCCCGCGATGAGGCCCTGCATCTCGTTGGGCGCGCTGGAGATGGCCACGTTGAGGTAATTGACAAAGTAGCCGGCCATGCCGATGATCATGACGACCTCGCCGCTGAAGGTGTACCTCCAGAAGTTGGTGTCCACCTCGTTGCGCGAGAAGAGGAGGATACCGACGATGGCCAGGATCTCGCCCACCGCTATCACCCACTTTGGCGGCACCCGGCCGTACGCCGCGCCCAGGGCGAACATGGCTATCAGGGCTGTGACTGAGGTCGGGAGGAATTGGATGGCGGCCGTCATTTGCGACCTATCCTGCACGCGGATGAGGAACTGGCTGCCGTTCAGGAGGATTATGAAGAAGGTCGCGTAGGTGAAGCCGGTTATCGACAGGACGGGGCCGAAGTTGTGGTACGACCAGACTTTCCTGGGGATCAGGGGTTCCAAGGAGAAGTATTTCTCCAAAATGAATTCCTCCCATACGAGGAAGAAGATGATGATTGCGCCTCCGAGGACGATGGGTGCGATCACCTTTGCTTGCTGCCAGTCTGTGGGCGCTTCGGTGAAGCCGAAGACGAGGAGAAGGGCGCCAACGGTTATAAAGACCGCGCCCGGGTAGTCCAGTCTCTTCGCCATGGGGAAGTTGGTGGGACTTGGGGGAATGAGAATGAAGGCCAGCACCGCGAATATCATCGATAGGGCGAAGGAGAGCCAGAAGAGTCCTTTGTAACCTAGAGAGGTAGTGGTGAAGGCACCACCCACTGGAAACCATCAGTTTTTATGCTTCCGGGGGGATTCATAAGGATGGGCTGGGCGTATCCATACCTAGAGTTCCGACAACGGCTCCAGTAGCCTGACAAGCACCCAGACCACTAATTGCCATCTGTTGGCTTTTCCCCGTGAATGTGGTTGCTACGAGTGCATAGGAAGTTGGGATTGTGCACGCTGCTGCAATACCCTGAAGTGCTCTCACTACATAAAGTGCTATAACGTTGTCGACCCCAGCGCAGATGGCAGAGCAGATGGAGAAGAAAAGGAGACCAACGGAGTACACCGTATGATGCCCTATCACATCACCTTTTGAGGGGACCATGAGATGTCAGTCTCCAGTAATACCCCATGAACGTCGGGGGGGGAGTGCAAACCAAGTCTTCCCGCTATCAACAAAAAAGATCCAAACGTGAGCGAGTACGCAGAGAGTACCCAACTAGCCTCCGTCTCCGGGATCCCATACTTCTCCGAGATACTTGGTAGAGCAAAGGTCACGCCGGTAACATTTAGGATATCAAGAATTTGCGAACCGGCAAACACAGCAAATGTCAATGGACGGAGGGTTTTCCTCAATTGGTCGAGGCGAGGAGAGTTCACATTCGCCATTGCGGCAGGAGAATGAAGGAGCAGAAGGTCAGGATGCTTTGATGTGGATTTTGGTGAGTCTGTAGAAGCAGCTCGGGCGGCCCCATATATATATATATACATGAAATGTGTAGTACGCAGTTTACTCATTGATGATGAATTACATGCCATAGTCGCGCAAACGCGGGATTTCCACTCAAGCAAAGCTTTCGCAAAGGGGGTGGAGGGGAGGAAAGAGAGGGGAAAGCACATACTGTGGAGATAAGAGCTAACTCGCTTTACCTCCGTCCATGGGCGTCGGTATTCCACGTCTATGAAACTCTTCACCAATAGCATTGATGCTGTATTACCGGTACTTTTTTATCCCCCACGTTATTGTTTTTTTGTTCTTTCTTTGCTCGGGTGCTGTGGAGATAGAGTTGCTTAATCCCCCGTAAAACTGACCGTCAACTCCGGGAGAACGGAGGTTGGGAGGTAAAAAAGTCCGGGTGTGACGCAAGACCACAAGAGTCACCGCAAAAACGTATAAACAAGGTACTCCGAAGAGCGTATCATAAGTATGCACGGAACTCCGGCGGGTGTGCGCCAAGCCAGTCTCTGCTCTCACCTCCTGTGCCTGTGAGAGCAAAGTGACTAAGCAAAAGTCTTGAGGATAGCTTCAGTCGGCACAACGAATGTAGACAGTGGACAACCGGAGACAATGTAGTCATGTTGGTCCATGAGTTTAGCGACACTACCGGTAATGCCTTCCAAATTTGGGGAAGAAAAGGCGACGAGTCATCGTGAGACGGCCTTTTTCTCAATTTTCCAAAAAAATTTACAATTGTTTGACTGGTTGGCTATTCCCGGTCGTCTACCGTATGGAATTAACGTAACCATACCTAAGAAAGAGGCCTTCCGAGTGGCCCTAAAGAGGTTAGAGTGCTATCTCCTGAAGTCCTTCAGTTCTGGGGATCATGGTGGATGTCGGTTCCTGATACACCGGGGTGTAGGCTATACGAGTAATTGGCGCGAAAGGGGGGGTACTGTACACTTGGTATTAGTGGTGAGGGGGGTATGATACAGAAGTATGATAATATGATACGGATATCTCTTGTGCTAATTTTATGAGGGCTTTAAATTTTCAATTTATAACTTTAAAGTTTAGATAGAGTGCTATCGCGGTGGGATGATATGCTGCAAAAACTATATCCTAGACATTTTGCCCTTTTTTTCTTCCGGACTGACAGTGTTAATGGATAGGGGGGGGGAGGGACACAGCCCGTTACGGTCCGCTTATCCCTTTGCTGTGATCTGAATTTTAACCATAAGCTGACCTCATATCCGCAAATGACTACCCATAGAATACTGGTATGTTGAGTACAGTACAAGTGAACAAAGAACGCGTTGCGGAGTTGCGACTGGGCGAAGGAAATTCTTCAGGAAACTCTGGCCTGTTATGGGGCATACGGTATCTTGACATTGCTGCCATCCAGAGCCATGGCCGTGGTTCGTACTGTGAAACGGATTGAAAATGTGAACATGATATTTGGCAATACATCACGATATTGTAGTGTGTATTACCCGTATAGAACCTTTCCAAGGGATCTCAAACACCCAAGCCTTGGGCAGTGCCGAAGCGACTTGGGGTGTGTCTTTTCCGTTTTGTCCTCTCCGTCAATACCGGTATTATCATGTTCCCTTAACTTATAAACTAGAATGCGCTCTGGGCGAGGTTTGTGTCCATACCAGCGGGCAATTTACTGGGCTCCGCCTATCAAGTCACGAATAATTGGTGACTTGGATTAGCTTCTGGGAAATTCTCGGAGGGTGATGATCGCAAACGTTATCGGAAGGGTAGTTACTCATATTGGAAGGGAGGAAAACGTTATTTTTCCCACGATCAGTAATACAGCCTTGTACTGTACTCATGACATGACGAAATTGGTCGGACGAAGAGCAGGGATCAGTAGCAAGTAATTTAAATTTTTTACCCTATTTTGACGATTTCCCTCTTTGCTCACCAAATATCATACCCCTGTTCGTCATGGGCACGGTGAAGACTGAAATCTCCTCAACTTGGGACTTTACCGATCGGTACCCATGGACCATAGTGACTGCGTTCCTTCTCTTTGATCCCGGGAATAAATTTTGGCCCCTGCGAGTAGCCATGTGTGAAATTGTGTGGCATCAATACTGACTCACGAGCGAATAGCAACGTTTTGTTAATAATATGTATTGTTAATAATCAGATATCCCTGTGAGCCCGTCGACCCAGGTAGCAGACACCAGTGCGATGCTACCTTATATCCTGTTCTTCCTACATCTGTTGCAAGCCAGGAGCTCACACCGTTTACAGGAAAAAATATAGCTTGGGAGGTTAAAATGACACATCTCGCATTGTGCCCCCCCTCTAAGAAACCTCCATCCAGAAACATGTTCGCACTCATGATTAACCTGCAAATTCGTCCTATATATCCCCACGAGATCAGCTATGGTTGCCCGGTTTGCGTTCGGAGGTGCGCCACGCATAGCTAATTCCTCGGCTCGTCTATTCAAGCGCCCATCGTCCCAGTCGCTACATTCGCACTCCTTCCAGGTGACACCGCAATTATAGCACCATTCCGCGCTGCACCTGCAGTTTTCACAACCTGTTAGAACTCGAGTCCCTCACTGGATGTACCAATTATGGAGCTTTGTTACCTGCAAGTCATGTGATGACAGCCAGATGATATCTCAACCAACGCATGGCAATTTTTGCATCTCTGCCACCCGCTCCTTGCAGCAAGCTCCAAGGTAAGGTCCAAACTCTTGTCTTGGGGACAATCCCCGGGGTGTTGCTCCTTCTTACACATCGCACATGTTACTGCGAAACACTTCGGACAAGTCCCTACGTCACCCCGGATCCAATCTGAGGGAATAAACTCGGAGCAAGTTGGTCTGCAACAATATGTCCGGTCTTTGCTAGAATATTCGCGGGATTTCGACCGGAACTCCGACACTTCTTTGCCCGAAAGTACCTTTTCCGCCATGTGAAATGGAATCTCCCTCTTGCAACACCGCGGTGGGAAGAGCATCTCGTCGACACATGCGTTGAGAAAGACTTCTTTCATACAGGATTGGCAGTATATGTGCCCGCACGGAGCACTCAGGGTGAGATTGACGGAAAACGTGTCAAAGCATATTTCGCACCCCCTCTGCGGCTCCCTCCTAGTGGGCATCCAGGATGGGCCGGGTGTGACCTGTATCACATCTTAGCAACATATTGACTGGAGGGCCGATGCCATAGGCCACGGTAACGGAATTAAAACCACCGGCCCCTTACCCCCGTCTGATCCTCTAGCATCAATCTTGCTTGCCATTCATTCACCGCAATCTCGCTAACCTCGCTTGTGTGATCTGACGCGGAAACCCATTCTTCAGACCCTGGGTCTGACGAGCTAGCTTCCCCCTCACACACTCTCTCCAGGCGTATCGCGAGATCGCGATCACTCTTTGCAACCCCCTCGACCGAAGCTATCTCTGTGAGGATATCACAATCTGCTCGCATCGCCTCCTCCAAACTTTCCGTCATGCGGCGGCCGATAATGGCTTGCTCCGAATCTTGCAGATACCTGCGATAAGTGTTGAACGCGAGTTCGTCATTAGAGGCTGCGAGATCCCCTTGCCTGCCCTTTCCTTTTCGAGTGGCCAACACTTCCTCGATATCTTGCAGCTGAAGCGAGATGATCAATCTTTCCGATAGTTCGTCCATCCTATGATTCGAACCGTGCCTCGGGAGGCTGCGAGGTAAACCCCTCAACGTAGGGGAAAAAATAAGATACGGTTATATACGAGATTCCCAGAATTGCCGGTAGTGCAGATAAGTAGCCGGAAGAGATTTGTAGATGAGGAAAGAGGGTTGTCCGAGGACTGGACAGTGTGCATCCGTAAAGGACTCGAGTACTGTCCTTAACCTTACCCCTCATTTACTCCAGGAGCAAGTGCTCTTGCACTTTATCTGCATTTAGAAATCCCTTTGCTCAATCCTTCTAAGGATATGCACCCTGCCATTCTTGTACTCGAGTTCAAGCACTCATTCTCCAAATAAAAGCAAACAGACAGGCAAGACCCTTGTCCGATAGGTGATTCTGCCCGTGGCAACAGAATATCAGGCCTCCCACAGGGATCGACAGTTGGTGGCAGCCACAAGAAATTCCAAAGCCCAGGCGCCTCTCTCTCGAAAGGCTGTAAACCGCTATCATGCCGTAAGGTCTGGGAAGAATGAGCCTTGCTCTAAGGCGAATAAAAATAAAAATATCATACAAAAGTCCCTGGTAGGACAAGCAACTTCAGCGCCAAGTACCGTACAACCTACGGTGCCACAGGTAGATAGATACCGATAGCAACAATTAACAAAGCATAAACATTAATGAAAGCCTTAACAATGGTCCGGGCCAGATTTAGAAGTACAGGCACCGCGCTCATCTCTCTCCCAATTCTTGGTGCGTGTGGAATTCCGTGGCAGCAAAAGATTATCGTATTGGCAGCGCGGTTTTGTGCGACGCCGGAAGCGGTTGCGGGAGTGCGGTGTAACCCTATTTCCCATGCTGTGGCTTGTGCTCAAATATCGAGTCTTCGCGGTTCTAAACTTCAAGGGCCCACCGGCTAGTTGTGTCCTCCAAAAAATGGAAAGGGTCGAGTTGGGGGGGTTGCAAACTTCCCCTCCACGGCTTCTTGCACCAGAGAGTGAATTAGTGTGTTTTATAGAAAGTAACCAGTCGGGTTATTGCAGCTCGCACGATCAAAGAAACCTAAATGAATTGTGAGATCACTTCCTAGATCTTGAGCCAGAGTGCAGTAACATATCATACCAATGCATCCGATCTGCCCTAGGACCCCTACTCCCCGGCTGTGGTGTTGGGTGAAGCCACTGGCTTTCCCCTTTCCGGCCAAACATTAGCCAGGTTAGGATGGGTCACGGGTGGGACCGGAATCGCTATTAACCCCCAAACGGGATCCTCAAGGAGCTATCCTATTCAGAAAACAAGCTCGAGTCACGTTATTAAGCGAGTCGATCTCCTGCACGGCATTAGGCCTTCCGAGAGTCTTGGTAGCCCGCTAAGATACAACTGTAGGGGCCGTCTATTTCGTTCCGGATTTCAGAACCCAAGATCCGATTGTATCAATGCCCTTCCGTCTTTAGCACCGCTGGCTGTCAAGCCATCCGCCCAACCGAATTTCAGATGTTGGCGAGTCTGCCAATCAATTGAGATGCGGAGCTCGACAAAACAAACCAGTGGCATACGATAGTAAGAAGGAACATCTTTAAGCTTTCGTAGACCAAACGATCCGCTCGTGACTTTATCAAAAGCTAATTTGAGCGATCTAGTACGAACCTATACGGGTACCGTGAAGTGCAGGACCGGATTGCCGATGATAACCAAAACCCAATATTTCCACTCACCGAATATCACTCGGTCTTCTGCTCTATCCCGGAGAGCAATACCAAAGTCGGCTAAACCATTAGGACCTAAAAGGCGCTCTTTTGAAGGCTCTTACTCCATTGAGTATCGGTTGCCCTAGCCTCCTTGCCACACTCTTATCCAATGAGCATAGACGCCCGTGCTGTTGTGGGGTAGCGTCTTGGGCATCCCCTTGCGGACATATAGCCAAACCGCGGAGATTCGGTATTGTGTCTAACATCCTGTACCATAATGGTGGTATAAAAGATCTCTCTCCGTTGGTATCAGGGCTATTGGCAAGTTGAAGTCAGAAGCACCCCAATTTATGGAGAGAAGCTTGTAGAAGGGGAGAAGGAAGAAGATACCTAGACGCTGCAGCAGACAAGAGCCTGAAACAAACTTGTGTAGAGTGTTTACTGCTCTGGTGAGCTAGAAAGCTCTATTTTTTAACTGACTGATTATATGTATCGTGCCTTGAAACCGGTTTCCGGAATGAGTCAGGATAGGAGTATTGTTGGGTGTTGGGTTTTCCCACAGCTTAGAGGTAGTGATAGATAGCGCCAAAGGGGTTCATGCCCGAAAATATTATTGTCAGTAAAATATTGTATTCCCGTCTGAAAAGGAATTCAAATGATGAACTAAATAGGGCGATTGCGAAGGGGATGTGCAATTTCAACAATACCCCCTTTCTGGATGTAGATTCGACTCCTCCACCAATCCCTCGAAATTCAAAATATATTAAGACACCTATCCCTTCATGCCCTACCTAAAACCCAATCAATAGCTGCTGCCGACCAGCTAGATTCTAGGGAGTACCAAGTGCTAGTACAATCCATCCTTTGAATTTCCAGAGTCCTAGAAACACTAGTCAATAACGTTCATTTACAGGACGGGCAGCCAAGTTACCCCGGAAGCTTCAAGCCCTTAGAAATCTTAAAATCTGACTGCGGGTGATAGTTAATCCTCAGACTTTGGTTTTAGTTCGGCTGATCATAATCTGTAATTCTAGAGGAATAGGGATTCTAAGTGCCCGGTCCTGGCGACCCGAATATCTGAGGTCGACATGAACTCTTCTAGCAGGACCCAAGGGTTCTCCCGATATCCGCTCAACAGAATTGACGCTACCGGGAATCGCTCCACCCGAGACTCATACGCCTTGGAATAGTACGGTGCAAAGAAAGGCCGGTTTAAGCGACGATTTATCGAAAGAAAGAGAAAAAGAAAGAAGAAAAAGAAAGAAGAAAAAGTCAAGTGGAGGAAACCAGGCTTTTCCTGCCCCGCTGCCGTGCGTCAGGGTTATTCTCCCTACCGGTAATTCCGGCCGAACTAGCTCCCGCTCCGCCCACCATTATGATATACCAAGACTCCTCTACACAGTACGAGCACTCATTGCTGCGATGTCCTCGGGCCAAAGACAGCGGTGGAGTTCAAGTTCCTCCCTTCCCGGGGACAATGGAGGCCTGTCAGCAGGGCAAGTCGGGTAAGCAGAGTTTATTCGTGCGGCTCTCGGATGGTTAATGCAGATTCCCTTCAGGATTACCAGGATACAGGAGGGGTAAATTTTACTGAAACGAGTGGGTTCTTTCCCTTGCCGCATCCCTGCACCAGTGTACGAGTACTCGTACTGTACTCGTAGGGGGCTGGGACCGCCAACAAAGGGCTAAGTTGTTAATCTACCCGGATTCCGACGCAAAAACAAACCTGGGATCCTACTCGCGTATGGACGTGGGTGACCGGACAGACATGGATTAAGAAATCTATGCCGATACATAGGTTTCCTTATCCCTGTTTGCCCGGTCACCAACGTCCATTCCTAAGTACAGTACAACAACATGTATGAGTACAGTACTCGTAGTATCGAAGCGTTTTTTTTTGAAAGAAAAAAGCACTAGGAGTACCGGCACTAAATGATAGAGAACTCGAGTCAGCTCCGGGCAGTGAGAAGCAGCAAAAATGCCCCACAGCTGAACCAAGACCAAGAGGCGACTTGATCAAGTGATATTCCTTTTTCCGCTTACTCCGAGTTCACCCCCAACGGCCCGCCCTCCGGCAATGGCCTCTAGGGGTAGACAAGCAACTTGTTCCTGGGTATGATTCCATCCCTACCCCTTCGTTCGTATGGCGAGTTTCACAGAATTCTAGCTCGAAAGTTAGCTACATACCGTTACTTGACCTGAAGGGCGTGACTGAGCTCTCCTAACCGTGTCCCGGCCAGCAAACGCCCCTGACCCGATCGCCTGCGGAGATTTACCTGAATAGGTGGTGATACTATCCTTCTAGGTAAAAGGCGATCTCGGTCGTAGTTCTGCTACGGTAATACAAACGAAGAGATATGTACCGTATTTGACCTGCTCTTATATTGCGGCCATAGGAAGTGGGTGGTCTTCATGGAAACCAGTGGGCTGGGCTACTGCACGTACCATACTGGTAGGCGATTCACTTTCCTACCCGTGCCTGGCATGAAGTATCTGAGATGGGAGACCGTTGTTTTTGCCTGCAGGGTAGTTATGCAATACTACTGTAGCCATGTTTTCAGATTCCTATCGCCGGACACGAGTTCGGCAGTGCTAAAGTTTTTTTTTTTCATCAATTTTTATACTCAAAACACAACACTTTAGACTTCGGCTGAATACTTGGAATACCCGAACCATCCCAATTTGCTATTGCTTCATATGATTTGATAGGCTCAAGCAATCTCCTAAGCCAGTTAGCGGCCGCCTACATAAGGAGTGGTTTCTGTTTATACCCATATTGGTTTCCGCCTCCTCCCTTGGATTCGGAGTAGGCAACTAACTTAGCAGCCATAGTACGGTCCGAGTGATACTTCAGGATTGTTCAGGATTTCTGTTGGCCCTTGCGCCTCGGGGATCAAACACATTCCACCCCGAGAAATTGTGAGCACCAAGCTCAACGAGGCACAGGCCAGCGGGCGAAATCCAAGGATATCAATTTAAGTCATCTCCGCAGGTATCTTGGGCGCAGATGACACTTGGTGCATCCCCACGGCTTACGTATAACTTGAAGATATCCTATTTACCCTGGACAGCACCAACTCTAAGTCCGCCTATCGGGGGCGGGGCAGCAATACGGCACTGTGTCACTGACTGTGCAGTACCAGGCAGACGCCCAGACATCCTGCAGTCAGCGGTACTCTGGAAATGACACCAGAGCTACCGGTACCCGTAAACGCGTTTAACCCGACGCCATAACAGGTGTCAGCACACCTCTCGCTGTCTCGGACGTTCGACTTTCCGCTGCAAGTAATAACGCAACGGTCAAGGGAATCCCCATTGCAGCTAGTAGATCCTTT